GCACTCGTTCGGCCACTAGATATACATACGACCAGAGCGTGGGCGACTTAAGTTGGGAACTTCTGTTGGTTTAGGGTTCAGGGTTTAGTAGTAGTCGACATAATTAGTGACAGTGTCCTCCGGAGCGTGGCACCGCATTCAATACAAGTCGCGAGGATTAGAGCTTAGGGCCTATTGAACTTATGGGCTACATAGGAGTCGGGAAGATCAGGGCCTAGGGCCTTGCGTGGGTTTATCATGGAAGATGATTCTTAAAAGAGTTCGGAAGCTAGGGTTCAGGATCTTTTGAGGATTTCAGGGTTGATAGATGATTTAAAGAGAGTCGGGTATTAAGACTCAGGGCCTCTTGTGTGTGTTCAGGGTTATCTTCGGGATTAGGGTCAGCGAAAAAACAGAGTTCATCTTTCTAGTTATCTTGCTTTTGCAGATTGCAACTCCCCACGACATGTCAATCGGACCTGGCGGCAAGGGTGTCGAGACCAGCTAGCTTGTGCTTTTGATGCCGACTGAAAGTCCCAGCCTTCTTAGATCGTAGTTTCCAGATTACAATGACCCTGCCACATGCATGATATTGTTCATCGCCAGCTGCGCCCTCCGCCAGGGAGCTCTTACCTTGTCCTGTATAGCATTAATTTGTACGTTGTCAACATCCACGGTTTCAAAAGATCACTCATGATGCAGGTTATCGATCATGGATGATGCGCTGCAACTGAGAGCAACGTGATTTCCGAAGTCGTGCCTAGCATAAGCCGCTATCTCCTCAAGAACCGAAGTTCACCGAACAAATATATCCCCATCTCTAACCTGATTTCCCCTAGGGCAATGGCTCCCTAGACGTAGGACCTGAAACGCGGGATAAGCAAGCAGCTGGGCAGCCCCTCTTTCTGGTTTAAACACGGGATATGGTAAGTCTGCGATTCCGAAAGATCGCCCCAAGGTGTCTGCTCGCATAGGCACGACCTATCTACACTAAGCAAAACTATGCTCGTGTGGCATATACATCTATATAGTAAGACCCTCTCATGTTTGCTTGGATGTACTTATGTTCTGGGTAGTCGTGGCCCTGGTCCCAGTATTCCAACTAGTTCACACAGGGTTCGAAATCTAAGCTATGAATTGAGGGCTCTAATTTAACTGCACGTATGACTTGTTAACTCAACTAGACTCGCCCCGGCTAGGTTTGTTGACTGTCCCAGTCAATACAACTATTCCGGAGGAATCGGTGCTTTGTTCTCGGCGACGACTTCGGGGTTAAGATCACAAGGCTTAGGGTAACAAGGATCGATTATTTTAATGTTAACTTAGTTCGTTTGTATTAGGCCGTAACCGTAGGGATCTCAAGTCATAATATCAAAGCATCAAAACTCTCAACCCCAAGCCCGACCCAGATCCCAAGCCCGACCCTTGAACCCGATCCCCAAAGTCTTTTAGCAAACTCCTGGCTTACACCCCCAAATATCTATAGGATAAACCCCTGTACCCGGTAAACCCCTGTACCCTAAATCTAGTCAATTTGAATTGACTGCATTCAGGATCGCTTCAGCCGGCATTACACTAAGCCCTAAAACCCGACCCCATAGCAAATTGAGTTCTTGGCAAGGTCGAATCTACATTCTATTCGAACCAGAACGTCAACTTTCGATGTATAAGCACCCGGCACCAACTCCTAATCGCTAGAGATTCCCACCGGAACATACCGAAACAAGAGACCGATGATCGGGATGATTATAACGTACAACGATACTCCATCTAATTGCAAGAATAGTAGCAACTTTCTCTTCGCCGTCATCACCAATGTATCGCCTAGT